AGCCCCCCTCTTCTCCCCGGACTCTGACCCAGGCTGGCGAGTCCCGGGGAACCCCTGGCCACTTCGATCTCGCTCTTCCTCCGACCTCAGGCGTCCTCCCCGGCTCGGGAGGCTCCGAACCCCGGAGAGGCCAGGAGGCGGGACGCGGAGAGCGGTGAGGGGCGCCTCTCCCCAGCCCCTCGCCTGCTTGCTTGGGGGGCGCAAAGGGGGAGAGCCAGAAAGCCGGAGCTGCCGCCGCCACCAAGTCACCCCCGGTGAGTGCTGGGCTCTCCAAGCGGAGGGGCAGGAGTAGGGGGGCGGCGGTTGGGGGGGGAAGAAGGATCGGCTAAGGGGATTCCCTGCTACCTACTGTATCTTGGAGAGGTATGCTCGGTGATCCTTGGCCTATGGAGGCGGGGTGGTCATAGCCATTAGCAGACGTGATGTCCAGGAGGCGAGCTGTGGAAAGAGGGACTCTACCTAGTTGTCCCGTAATAGTAAGAATAAACTGCAGAGCAGGAAGGGATCCTATAGATCATCAAGTCCAGCCCTTGTCAAGAAGCCACAGTAGGGAATCGAACTCTCAACTTTTCTGGCTCTGCATGCCTAAACTACTGAGTTATCCAGTAGCTCTTCCTCTTCCTGTGTGGCATTCAATGCTGTACTCCTTACAGCTTAGAGAATCTGGAAACCAGGTGGTCACGCAAGATTTGTCTCTTGGATCTAGCTCCATACAGTCCTAGAGAGACAAGCTGGAGAGCAAAGACCTCCCAGGAGAACCTTCAAGTTCTGTATTCAGGAGCTGCGGAACGCAGGGTGACTGGGTTCGAGACGTCCCTTTCTCCCTCAGCCTCTAAACTCTGGCACAGTAGTAAACCCCATGGGGCTGGTGACCACGATTCCATTGTCACCTCTCAGGGGAGATTCAATGGGGAGGCAGGAGGGCGATCCCTAACCTGCGTTGTCCTGTTTTCCTCCCTGGCATGGGAAAACAGAGGGATGGCGTGGCTCCCATTGACCACGAATGTCTCCTGCGTGGCTGCTTCGCAGAGCAAACAGCAGTGGAGAGGGCTAGAAGATGCAGTGATCTATTAGACTTTCCCCTCATCCCCCCTCTTCTGAGTAAAGAAGTGCTGTGGGGCCCCCCGAATGCTTCAGGATCTTTGGACCGTCCTAAAGCATCCTTGGGGATGGTCTAAGATGTACTTTTTGCGAGGTTGTTGGGAAACACGGAGTTAACCAGATGTTCTCTATAAGTCTGCCTTTCGGATAGAGAAGTCACAGCTCTGCATCTGTTCTGTGCTTTCTGTGACACGGGAGTGATGCATCTATATAGCTGGTACGCTTTAGGTACGTCCGACCGCAGCTCCTACCAAACTCGACCAGCATCCTCCACGTCAGCTAGTGGACGTGTTGTTGGTTGTGCTGTTGTTGGTGAGCGTTCTGGTTCAGCACATCTGAAAAGCAACAGCTGGAACACAGCTGCTTGGGAGGATTTGCATCAAGGATAACGAATCCTTGAGTTCTGTATAAGTGGTTTAGGAGCTAAGTTATAGAGAGGTGTTTTCTTTTTAAAAAAATCTATGTCCCTTTGAAAATAATAATAGCCGAAGGAAAAAGCAGAGGAAGAACCAAGCATGCTATGTAGAATATAAGTTTCATCTTTTGGGTAAATTATACACGAAGATGATCTGGCTCTCTCAGGTACTCTCTTAGGGACTCTAAGTACAAACGGGTGCACATGTTTTAGACAATCACATTGCCCATTGTTCATGCTTGGTGGGATTCGTAGGAGTTATAACCCAAAATATTTGGAAAACACATTGTTTGGAAGGAAGAATAAAGCATCTTCCATTACCTGCAGGTTACAGGTGTTCCATTGTTACTTTTTTCTCTTTTTTATAGTCTCTGGAATGTTCTTATCTGTAGGCGAATGAGGTAGCCTCTTAAGGACCTGGATGTCATCAAGGATGTGGCTGGGGGTGAAATTTATTTTTCGTGGGTTAGAACCTCAAAGAGGGAACAACAGTATCCTTCTGTTTACATTGTCATTGTGCAGTTCCTGAGCTTCAAAGCATGGATCTCTATTGATACAATACATGCATATATATTGCTGTGACAGAGCGTAAATGTCTATTGATAATGTATATACTGCTATGTAGTTTGCAAAACAATACACTTTCTGTAGTCAAAATCCACAGCTAGGAGCAGGCTAATTGGATGTACAAAACAGTGAGCCTGCATGTTATGTATGTATGCTCCATAGATTCAGTGGATCTACATTCACTGGGCCGACCAAGTGGATTCAAGTATAAGAATTCACAGGCAGTGTATAACTCAAAAGAAATCAATGGCATTTTAAATATACCAACGTGCGAACGTGTTGAGGTTTGCATTCTTCCAGATGGTATAACTCAAAATAAATCGATGGCACTTTAAATATACCAACGTGGGAACGTGTTGAGGTTTGCATTATGAGATTCTTCCAGATTGCTTCAACAGAATATTTGGGATATAGAGTCGCTCTCTTGAACCCATGAAATGTGCCTTTCAGGGCATCTGAAGCCACCTCCTCTGATGAGGTAGCAACCCTCCTGGATCTCTCTCATCCCTTCTGCCTGAGCTCTTTTCATTGCCCAGGGAGTGAAATGTGGAACCTCATGGATGTTGAACATGGGTGGATACGTAGATGGATGTTGGCTCTTAGCCACATCAGGACTTCAGCATCCTCTGATCTACGAAGAACCCTGGATCCCTTTCAAACACCATCTCCAAGCTGTGAATACTCTTTGGTATTGTAGAGAAGAGGCTGCAGACATTTTCCTCAACTCTAGGAAATGGGAAGGGTAATAAAAAAGTAAGAGGGTTAGCCTTAAACCAGAGACGATGCATTGAAGCCAAAGGAATTTGCATCACGTGCCACTAACACATCTTGCTTCTGTTAGTGTGTCTGTTCTAGCTGGGGCTATCATCAGATTTAGCCCAGGAACATTTGTTTCTGGAGTTAGAGAACTGGAAAAGAAGAGGGGAAAATAGATGATTATAAATCCATAGTCTCAGAGCGCCCCTAGAGGAAGGGAAGAGTAAAATGCTTCTGAATATCCTCTGTTTGGAAAACCTTTGTGTTCATTAAAGTTGGGGCTGGAGAAGGGTGCCCCCCCTCTCCCCCAGCTGTTGTCATAGTCAATTGAACATCAGCCCTTACCAGCATGGCAAAAGGTGCAGAGTGATGGGAGTTGTAGTCATACACCTCTGGACAGCATCAAGGTGCTGCTCCAGGATTAGAAAGTTGTATGGAGAGGTGGGGGTTTTGAGGATCAAGATTTCGCCAAGCCATGCAGTAAAACGGTGGTGACCCTGGGCCATGCTCTCTCCTAGCCTATGCCTGCCTGGCAAGTTATTGTTGTAGGGCGAAAGTGGAGGAGGAAGACAGCCATGGGCACTGCCTTGAGCTCCTTCGAAGAGGCGGAGGGGGCAGAAGGCAAGATTGTGTGGCTCTCAGTCCCTCCAGCATCTTTCTCTCTAAGCTCAGTGTTCTAGCACTCATCGTTCGATAACTTCTTCTCCTCCAGGCGCACGTAGCTGTTGCTCTCTTCCCAGGTTGACTTCCCCTTCTGTCACCTCCCCATTTTTGCTTTTCCTCATTCTGCTTCCCCGGACTCCCTCAATGAACCCCCCCACTCCGGGCTTTGCTCGGCCCTCTTCAAGCCGGCCCTGTCTGCCCTCCCCTCCCTCCCGGCCTCTCCAGCAGGGAGAGATTTTCATTAATGAATCACTGGAAAAACGATTGGCTTTGCCAGGAAGCTGTCGAAAGGAGCTGAATGATGTAGGGTTCGTTTCCCTCCTTGTCACCACAGGCAGCTGAAGCTGCGTAGAAAGCATTCACCGGCAAGGTTCCTCAGGTGGCAAGAGAGCGAAAACTGGAAGGGCTCTTGCACCTTTCCATTACAAATTCTCCTGATTTCATTATTTTCTTTCTCCTCTCTCTCTGTCCTGCTTGCATCCCTTTGTCTTGTATCGGTGGCCCAAACCAGCATGCTTCCAAGAGCTGTGGATTCAAAGAATTAATCTGCATTCCCAAACTCTTTCCTGACTCCTTAATATTTTTGATCCTAAGGGGAGCAACGTAGCCGCTTTGAACTGCAACATTCGCTCTTCGTATCGGCTAGACAGAATGCTAGGGATTGCTCAGGAGTAGCGATGGGTCCCTGAGATCTCCAGATAGCATGTGCGTGCAGAGAGGATTCCGTGTCCTGAAAGTCAAGAATTCTAAGCTGAGGACAAGACAGAGTTCTTCTGCATTCCCAGTTTAAAGAGGATTTGTGCTTGTGTAGCTCAGTGGGTTGGAGCACCTGGATACAGAGGCCAGGCAGGTACTGGCTTCCCATGGAAGAGATCAGATAAGTTCAATCAGTGTATGTATGGCTGGTGGGGCAACGTCCCCTGCCCTCTTAGGCAAGCTGTATGTCCCCAGAGAACTGGGCTCTCACTAAACTTGGTTATAAGGGCATAAAAAAGTATGATAGATGGATGGACAGATGGTCAGCCGGTCAGTCAGAGGACTGATCCATCCAACTTTCTATCAGCTATAGAAATGGGTCTCAAACTTTTATCTTCTATTCAAGACTAAGCTTATTGATCCAACCTTGTATCTCCAGATGTTCTTGGACTTAAAACTCCCAGAAGCCTTCACCCCTAGCTGTGCTGGCCAGGATTTCTGGGAACTGCAGTCCAAGAACATCTGGATTACCCAAGTTTGGGAAGCAGTGCCGTACGTGGATGTTTCAGACTTTCAGGATGTTTGTTCATTGTCTTGGTTGGGATGCCCAACAAATGATGGCTGAAACATCTGGCATGTCAACGATGGAGTACCACTGATCTACCATGAATGGCAGGGGCTCTCCAGAATTGGCAGCAGAGTTTTTTCCCAGCTCCATCAAGAGATGTCAGATGTTAATTTGAACCTGGCGTTCTCTGCATAAAAGGACTGTGTTATAAACACATGTCTAATCAAAGTAGGTGGGTGTGTCACTGTCTTCTAAGCAAACTTCCTTAAGAATACAAATGCTTCACTCATGAAACTAAGGAAGGAACTGCATTTGATTAGTTGTCTGAGGAAGTGGACTTGAAAGCTCACATTAAAATGTAACAGCTGATCTTTACGAGGTGCCACACCTTTTAATTTTTTTTTATAGTAGGACCATGATGTGTGTAGGGGATCAGTTCCATGCACTCCTCCGATGCCAAAAAATGTGGATGTAGCAAATATTCAACATAGCATTGACTCTGTCCCCCTCTAGTGGCTAGTTCTGGTAAACACACAGTGGAAATATGTATTTCTGTGTTTTTTAATTTAATACAGTATTTCCAGGAAGTGGATAAGTCACAGGTGCTAATCCAGTAGATAGGGGTGGTGGTGGTTCCTGCTGTATTTTTCTTTTCTTTTTTTCAAAAAGAAAAAGTGTTGTGCAAGTAGCTTTTGTAACTTGAGGGAAACTTTAGCTTTGTGTTATAAGTGAAGTTACAGTTCCACCAGTGAGATATTTGCAGTCTTCCAACAGAGTGACAAGAAATCAATTTTTTTTCTGTCATCAGTCATGCCACACAATTAAGATGAAAATATTTCTGTGCTAGTGCACACGATAAAGATGGGAATTATTTTTTAAAAAAAAACTGTTTAAGCAAAGTACTGCACGTGGGAGTGTCACTGTGTTCTAAGTCAACTTGATTAAGAATGCAAATGCTTTACTCATGTAATTAAGGAAGGAACTACATTTGATTAATTAGTATAATGTCTGTCACTGGAACATTAATGTGTACGCATATTAATGACGAGCATAATGATAGTCTTAATGAGGCAAATTGTCCCTATTAGACAGTATCTATTTGGCTGTGGGTGATTTATTATCTGGTTTTGTCCTGCTGTGATTTGCTGGATACTATATAATTCCCCACTAGCCTTATTCTTTTTGAACTGATGCTTTTGGGGGGGCAGAAATTAGTAGTTAATCCAGTATACTTGAATAATCAGCATGAAACCTAATCCAAAGTGTACAGGCGTGAATCCATTTGTTAATCCCAATTAGGGAAGAACCATTAAATCACTCTTCTGAATGAATGAAAATACAAATGAAGGAAGCCTGGCGCATGTAAGGTGGCAGCAGCAAAAACAAAGGGATAATCTTGTGGCACCTTAAAAAAAAAATCACACATTTTATAGGGTTCACCCTAATGTAAATGCTGTTGATCCAATGTATATACTCCAGTTGGATCTAATAATTGAATATAACTGATCGTTTTGGATCCAGACTAAGCTTGTAGGGCTTAGAATTGAATGGAATCAGTTTGTTCTAGTGATGTGCCTCCAGTCGCCTCCAATTGATGATGATCCGATGAATGAGCCATCTCCAGACTGTCCCGTCCTCAACAGCCCTGCTCAGCTCTTGCAAACTCAGGCCTGTGGTTTCTTTTAGGGAATCAGTCCATCTCGTATTGGGTCTTCCTCTTTTCCTGTTGCCTTCGACTTTTCCCAGCGTTATTGTCTTGTCCAGAGAATCCTGTCTTCTTGGGATGATGCCCAAAGTAGGACAGCCTCAGTTTCAACATTTTCCCCTCCAGAGACAGTTCTGGCTTGATTTGATCTAGGACCCACTGGTTTGTCTTTCCAGCAGGGCATCTGCAAAGCTCTCCTCCAGCACCACATTTCAAAACATATCTGTTTTTTTCCCCGGCAGCTTTCTTTCCTGTCCAGCTTTCACACCCATACATACCGACTGGAAATACAAGGGAGTGGGCAATCTTGGTTTTGTTCTCCAGTGACAAATCCTTACACACAATGATATTTTCTAATTCCTCCATTGCTACCCTTCTGAGTCTCAGTCTTATTCTGATTTCTTGTCAGAAGTCTCCAGATGGATTGGCAATTGAACCAAGATATACAGAATCTCTAATAATGTGGTGTAGTGGACGGAGTATTGGACTAGGACTCAGGAGGCCTGGGTTCAAATCTCCATTGAGCAATGAAAACTTACTGGGGGGAGTAAAATGAGTAAAACCACTTCTTAAATATCTCACATGGAGAGCCAGTTCCGACTCGACAGCACGGAGCAACAACATATCGTATATATTAGAATGGTTTAATGCAAATCCATTTCCCCTTTGTGTCCTCCTTTTTTGGGCGCTGAGTTTTTTTTTTTTACTAATCAACAGGATGGTGTTTGTCACTTAAAAGGACACTGTTATGAATGCAAAGTTAGAATTCTGATGGATGACTTTTTCTGACTGCTGACGTCTCATCTTGCTTGTCTTCTCCTTGCAGTATTGCCTTGTGAGGTCCAAGCTTTCGTTGGTGGCAAGATGACCATTTGTATGTTTGCCAAAAGATTCACTGAATCATCGTTGCGTTGACTCTATCAAAGTGCAAGCCTGGCAAGAATCCTGCCGTTGTAAGTTTGCGTCTGTTCATTTCTTCCTAGAAACGGTTGAGGAAACGAAGCCCTCGCAGCAGAAGGGTGGCATGGGGACATACGCATGGTATATTTTGCTAACATAATCCTAAAATGAATTGAAGCGTGCAACTTCTGAGTTTCACACTTACATTGAAAGCGTGACACTTTCTATATGTTCCACTCTTTCAGTATAAAAAATGTTGAACTTCACAAAGACCTTTGTGTCTACACAAACCAGATGCAGCCCAATAAAGAGCAGTGTTTCATTTCTTTGTGTTTCTTGTCCTTTGGGACAGATCTAAATAAATGGATGATGATGATGATAAAAGTTTTCAAGTCGATTATTTGATGTATGGCATCTCTCTTTCAATAGAGTACTTAGAAGTGCATTACCCTTCCTTTCCTCTAGGGGCAATCTTGGGACTGTGCAGCTGGCCCAAGGCTACCCAGGCTGGCTCTTCTCCCTGGAGGCTCACTGGGGAATCAAACTTCCAACCTCTGGCTCCGCAGTCAGAGACCTAACGCAATGAGCTACCTAGCCAGCTCCACCCTAGTTACAGCCCTGACAAGCACAGCCAAACTATAATCTCAAAACTGCAGAAGCTGGAAGGGACCCTATAGATCATCAAGTCCAACCCCTTTCAAGAAGGCCCAAGGGGGAATCGAACTCCCAACCATCTGGCTTCGCAGCCAGAGATCTTAAGCCACTGCGCTATCCAGAAAGACATTTAGCAATGAAGAACAAGGGAGATCATTATATATGAACTTGGTTCTGGGAATAGTGGTGTCTCACGCTTTGTGGACAGAGGTTTTATTTTCTGATCTTTAACTACTTGAAAAGGGCCCTGTAGTACAGGGGCGTAGAGGTGCCTTGCTGCTTCTTCCAATAGCAAATGTTCGATAGGCCAATGCAACAGAGCAGGAAATGTTACCTGTAGTGGCTAAGCAATGCTGCATTTGGGACCTTGCTAGGAGCATAGCTACGACCTGCTGCCTGTGTTACTTCCTGCTCCATTGTCAATGGAGAAGCAGCATCAAGAGAGTTCGGTGATGCTCTCCACTACAGGACTCTTTTTTCTAAAAGTTTTAAAAAAGGAAAAATAAACTGGCCGCCTCGTGTAGTCAGAGACTGGGTTGCTAGCTGCTTCTACCAAACCATGGAAGCCACGCTGACTCCCTATTGAGGCAATCTGTTGCTCCAGAAATGTTGCAAACACCACAATCTGTTGCTGCAAGAAGTGGAAGTCAACACTCAATTGCTAATTTCAGGAAGACGTGCTGCTCGATCAAGGCACCACAGCAGGAGAAAGCTGCTGAACCTCCACATACATTGCAGCCTTGGGAAATATCACCTTTTGAGCCAGAGCTCTTGTCGGCATGGCTGTGGCTCAAGAATTTTGGCTCAAAAGTCGCTGTCGTTCCTAGGCACTGTCGAGTTGTTGTCTCTGACTCATGGCGATCCGATGAATGAGGGATCTCCAAAATGTCCTGTCCTCCACCGCCATGCGCAGCTCTTGTAAACTGAGGCTGGTGGTTTCCTTTAGGAAGTCAGCCCATCTCATATTGGGTCTTCCTCTTTTCCTACTGCCTTCGACTTTGGCTAGCATTATTGTCTTTTCCAGGGAATCTGTTCTTCTCACGATGTGCCCAAAGCACAACAGTCTCCGTGTCTTCATTTTTGCTTCCAGAGAACGTTTAGGCTCGACTTAATCTAGGCTCCAATTGTTTGCCTTCCTGGGGGTCCAGAGTATCCATGAAGGTCTTCTCCAGCATCTTCTCCTCCCCTTTTTTCACAGTTCAGTCCACTATCTATCTGACTGATCGGACCTTTATAGCCCTGTATCCCTGTAATGGGAGATAATGGCATCGCCCATAGAATGGTCAACTAATTTTTAATTGCTTCTATAGAGTAGACTCTGTCTAGATGGACGGCATATAAATGCAATAAATAAATAAATAAATAGTGAATGAAGTTTTTCCTGTTGGTTTTCAAAAAGTGCTAGAGGAACCAGATATTTGAATATTCTGATGCAATTGGACACGATCCTCCATGAGGGATAGCTGAAAGACAGCTTTCTGGATGATGCTGTCACTGCTGCTTTCTCATGATGCGTCCAAGGAATCATGCCACATCTCTCTCTCTTTTTGAGAGAGGTGTTGTCTTCCCAAATAGGTTTTCCAGGCTCCGGTCAAGAATCATCAAAGCTTAAGCTTTCCCGCTGCATTTTCTATGCAGGCGATCACATTGACTAAATGTGTGTGTGCGCACATGGGGAGAATGTATCTCTCACATATTGTTAAGGGAATTTGCTCCAAAGAACCAACTCTGGGTTTGTGTGTATTTTTTTTTCCAGTCCATTAGACAGGTGAAGAGCATGTCCCTTTGGGTTGCCATGTGTTGTCAGAGAAGTAGGATGATAATGGCATGAGAAGCTTGGGGCAGGAACCCATGCATTACCTTGAGATTGAAGAGTAAACAAACTCGCTGGGGAGAATGATTAGCTTAATGGGGCAGGACCTGAAAGCCTGTTATTAAAAGGGAGCAGGCCATTTTTCACTCCAGGCTTTTTCTCGTCTTCATTCATGCTATGTGGCATGAACAAAGGAGCAAAGGTTAGGGCATGGTGAAGCAAGCTGGCGGCTTCTTCCTTGCTCTTCCAGCTGTTCAGTCTACTGTTGTCTGCTCCTTCATCTTCTCCCTATGTATACACAAGGCATATAAAACTGTTTTTTTCAGTGACTCAGTCCATGGGCACCCAGTCTATCATAATTACTGGCTGCAGTTGCATGAATCAGATAATGACCTCTGCTGATCTGGTGGGTGATGGGTTGTCTAAGATTTCAGCAAAGGGCTTGCCCATCACTGACCTGGTGCGTCTAACTGCCGGTGTTATAGCTGGGCTCTGACCTGTTACATGGAAGTCTTATGCTTTGCACTGAACTACAGACCCTCCCACCGTGGTCTGCCTCCCTCCAAAATGGAAGTACAAGTGGTCAAAAGTCCCAGGATTTTTTAAAAGTACTTTTTCTTTTTTCAACTTCAAAAAGAACACAGCAGCTGAGTACCCAGCTCGACTTGTGGGGGAGGGGGGCAATGTGTAGCCTGCCTAATTAAATGGTAAAGAGAGTATTTTAAGCATTATGGGGCATTATATATGCAGCACATGTAATTGCTTTGTTTTTACTTTGATTCAAACATAACCCATGACATATGGAGTCTTCCAGGAGTGTGATTCTGCCTATAGAAGGGTGGGCTGTTGATGGTCTGTCTGCTGTCCACCCAGCTATACATGGTAGTTTCCTATGTAAAAAAAATAATAATAAAAGGAAATGAAAACATTAAACAGACAGGCAAAAATTAACTACAAGAACAACGCCCATGCTTTGTCACACAAATATAAGCTTTAATTTTCTTCCTCTATAATTTAAACCAATCCAGTTTTCTCCACCGCCCCCACATACATACACACTTGCGTTTACGCAAGTTCCAGACAGAATATACTATAACCCACCACTAATTCACTAAACAGCACCCACTGAGCTGTGACTAACATCATTAAACCTAACATACTCTTACTGAATTCAGTGATCACATGACCCACATATGGCCCAGCCCCCGCTTTTATACAACACAAAACTTTCCAGCCAAGAACCATACTAACCAATCCATTCATAGACATTCTTCTACATCTCTCAACTGTTTTAATTGTCACTCAACTGTTTTAACACACATCCAACCCACAAATGTTAATCAAAAGCCAAACGTTTACCATGCTTGCTGATATAAGTATCTATATCATTGGTTCCCAACCTTGGGTCCCCAGATGTTCTTGGACTACAACTCCCAGAAAGCCTGTCCGGCACAACTAGTGGTGAAGGCTTCTGGGAGTTGTAGTCCAAGAACATCTGGGGACTCAACGTTGGGAACCATTATGAAAATATATTTACAGTGTAAAATTGCCACCATCATTTTTAATATGTTTGTTGAAATGCTACTGAAAGACTCCAGAATCAACCAATGCAATTCTTAAATGACTGAAGGAAGTGATGCATTCCTAAATATGCGTCTATGGGTTCAGGAAATTCAGCTTAGGAAGGGCCAGGTGTGGTACAGTGGTCAAGCTAGACCTAGGGAGACCTGGATTCAAATCTCTCTTCAGTTGTTAAAAATCCAAGGGTGACCTTTCTCTCAACTTGTCCTACCTCTCAGGATTACTGAAAGGATAAAAATTGAGAAGAACTCCATGAATACCACCTTGAGCTCTTTGGAGGAAAAGTGGCCTATAAATATGAACAAATAAATATAAGAAATGAATCAGCTCGCATAGGAATATGCAGCTGCATGCTTTAATCTTACTTGAGACTGTCTGGATTTGCTCAAGTCAATAAAGATGCATCAGTGGGTTTTTTTTAAGCCAACTACAGTACCTTAATTTAAGTGGGTGCAGGAATCCAGGGTTGCTAAAGTCAGCCAGTCAGTCAGGTGCGCCCTCATCATCTGACTCATGAGGCAGCCGACTGATTGCATCTCCGTCTAGTGCATCATGCCTTTCTCCGTTATATCTGGTTTCCATGGCAACAGCCTCCTTTTCTAGGAGTTTCACATTCTTCCTCATCTCTGTTTTCTGCTAGGCAGGAAATCTAAGGCACCGTGGAATGGGAGGTATAGAACTTGAGGAAGGGGTGTGTGTAAACAAACGGGGGGGGGGGAGAGGGAGAGGAGGATGAAGGATTGGCAAGATCCATTTTCAAGGCTTTCAACCCACAAGAAAGGGCAAAGGAAAGAGCCACCAGCTCCACTGTTGTGCATCGTGCACAGGGATTGCTCTAAAGCAGAAAGCATAGCTTTCCAGATGTTGTGCAGCTGCATCTCCCGGCATTCCTCTGCATTCGTACTGCTGGCGAGGGCAGATGGCAGATAGAGTCTCCTAATATCCAGAGAACTGCATTTGGTTCACCCCATACGAATGGGTAACAGACAGTCACAGTGGGTGCTCCCTCAATAATTTGCTATTTCACCATCTGCTATTCCGTTTTTCTGTCATTATATATTAAGGTCCTGTATGGAGAATAGCTGCTGACACATCCTGAGGTAAAGGACAGGAGAAGACATAATTTGGATAAAATTGCCCGTCCTTCACAATGCAACCATACATATCTCTGTATTTGTCCTACAAATGAAGTTTCCATTTGCTTCCAGTATTTTTGGGTGTTCCTGACTCATTTCCCCCTCTGTTTTCTTTTAGTTTGCCACCTGATTCCATTATGACTGAGGGCTTAGATCACAGATTCAGCCGTCTCACTTGGGAACAAATCAAAATACTGGATCAAGTCCTGACAGAGGTGATCCCCATTCACGGAAGAGGGAATTTCCCAACCCTGGAGGTAAAGCTGAAGGATATCATTTGCGTGGTCAAGGAGCAGTTGGTCAAGAAACACATCGTCATCAGGGACATTCGCCTGAATGGCTCCACGGCGAGTCACATCCTTGTGAAGCAGAACGGCACCAGCTACAAGGATCTGGACATTATTTTTGGGGTTGAACTTCCCAGTGAGCAAGAATTCCAGGTGGTGAAGGAGTCCGTCTTGAATTGCCTCTTGGACTTCTTGCCAAAATGCGTCAACAAAGAAAAGATCACGGCGCAGACCATGAAGGACGCCTACGTTCAGAAGATGGTCAAAGTGTCCACCGATCATGACCGCTGGAGCCTCATCTCTTTGTCCAACAACAGTGGGAAGAACGTTGAGCTGAAATTCGTCAACTCTCTCCGACGCCAGTTTGAGTTTAGCATCGACTCCTTTCAGATCATCCTGGACCCCGTGTTGGACGTTTATACGCACGAAGACAGCCAACTGTCCGAGGGCTCCCACCCGCCCATTCTTGCAGAGAGCATGTATGGAGACTTTGATGAGGCCATGGACCACTTGAAGTACAAAGTGATTGCAACCAGAAACCCCGAAGAGATCCGCGGGGGAGGCCTTTTGAAATACAGCAACCTCCTGGTTCGGGATTTTAAACCGGTGGATGAGGCCGAGATCAAATCCTTGGAACGGTACATGTGTTCGAGGTTCTTCATCGATTTCCCGGACGTGACGGAGCAACAGCGGAAAATCGAATCCTACCTGCGCAACCACTTCATCGGAGAAGAGAAGAGCAAGTACGATTACCTGATGACCCTGCGTGGGGTTGTGAACGAAAGCACCGTCTGCCTCATGGGACACGAGCGGAGGCAGACCCTGAACATGATCACAATCCTGGCTCTCAAAGTGCTTGGGGAGCAGAACATCATCCCCAACACAGCCAACGTCACATGCTACTATCAGCCTGCTCCGTACATCAGTGACAGGAACTTCAACAATTATTATATTGCTCATGGACAACCCCCCGTTATCTATCAGCCGTATTCCTTTCACATACACCTGCAAAGTGGCATGGTGTAGTTGACAAACATGGGCATCTCCTTGCTTTGTCTTGATGCCCAGCTCAGCCCTTCCAGCCTCCGCCCCACGCTCCTCACAATAAAGCTCCCGTTACCGCTAATTTTCCTATTATTTTTGATTCCCAAGGCATCGTTGGTTTGTTGGTTTCTTTGTTTGTTTTTGTGCATGATGTTGCAAACCTCTTCAAGGGGTCAAGCACTTGAAATGCCCTTCAGGCTGCTCGTGAAATAGTGACGTAACACGTTGAATGAAGTACCTATCAAATAACCGCATCGAATGGCTGGCAAATGTTTTAAAAATGTCCATGTGCATCGTGGTGTTTTCCCTCCCTCCCTCCCTCTCTCTCTGTATTGCAGCTGTTTAATGGGCTCAGCCACTAGTGGTCAACCATCAGTGGTAGGGTGTGCTAAGTAGAGCAACGAATGGAAATTTGTAGAGAATGCTGGGAGGAGGAGAAGCTCAAGAGCCTTCAAGTGTGGCGAGACCATGGCTTCCTTCCTTCCTTCCTTCCTTC